CTTTTTTTTTTTTATAATAATTTTTTTTTAAATATATATATATATATATATATATATATATATATATATATATATATATGTGTTAAATTACAAACCAGTGCAAAAACAAATCAATAAATATATGAGTGACTATTACTATAATATTGTTGTACTGCAAACAGTATTATTTAATAATCAATATTGACAGTATTATAAGCACTTAACTAATACTTAATATGTATTATTATCATTATTATTATTATTGTTATTATTATATTTATTTATTTATTACACACAACTGTACAGTTTCAATACTATTATTTATGGCTGTCTTAATTTAATTGGTTTCAAATATTAAATTATGACGCTTCACCATCAAAAAAAAATAGTATTCCCCTCGCCCCGAATCACATTTTAGGTTGGAAAATATTGAAATCATATTCCAATAGTGCATGCCATTCAAGACCCAATAGCAATCCACAGATATCTGGGCTTATAAGCTTATATCTTCTGACACTTGAAGCGCCTCTGGTGCAACGCCTGGAACATCTGCCCCAAAACCACCCATTAGCACAAGTTATAAATATAAAACTGCTAAACCAGCCAGTTAAAAAAAATCAAAAACAGAGAAAAGAAAGAAGAGGATCAGGAAGTTGCGATGAAGTTGAGTCCGTGCCTTGAACCATTCCTTTTATCCACCGTCCTTCAGGCTCTACATCTGGTTATGGGCGCAAGTGAAAGAACGCTAAATCATACGTATACATGTGTGTGCGCAAAATTTCCAAATCCATGCTTACGCTTCCCCAAATCTCCCTCCTTTCTCTCTTTCCGCCGTTAGCACATTGTAGCCTAATGCTATTGGGATATTAATTTGTATATTCCTGTCTGTTTGCTTTTAGGCACTGCTGACTGTGAAAAGCGCCCTGCCTCTGTGCGTTTCTGAGCAAGCATGTGCACCGAGTTGCTTTTAAGATATTTCATGCCACTTTGTGCAGAAAATCACAACTACACTGTGGGAGGAGAAAGGAAAAGATGACTGCCAGGAGAACAGAAAAGATGTGCTGAGCTCACGAGGTTCAGACAAAGTCCTGAACCCCCCACCCCACACACACAGCATTTCTAGGGAACTGTTTCACTACAAGAATGAATGAGTGAATGAATGAATTATTAGCATTTTTATTCAGTTGTCCAGTAAAAATATCAACACATGAATAATACAATATAAATATATTTGAGAAGCAAAATGCTGTTTTAGTAAAACTTTACTACAAAAAAATACTCAAAAGTTTGTGATCAGTGAGATTTTATTTTTCTGAAAATAAATGAATACTTTTATTCAGCAAAGACACATTAAACTGATCAAAAGTGAGAGTAAAGACATATATCACAAGAGATTTCAAATATATTCTGTTCTTTTGAAATATCCATCAAGTAATCTTGAAGAAAAAAACATTATGGCTTACACAAAAATATTAAGCCGCAAGAAATATTTCTTGAGCATATTAAAATGATTTGTGAAGTAATATCATGTGACACTGAAGACAGGATTAATGATGCTGAAAATTCAGCTATGCATAACAGGAATAGATTACATTTTAAAATATATTAAAATAGAAAACATTTATTTTAAATTGTAACTATAACTGTAAATATTTCACAAAATACTGATTTTTTTTGTTTTATTATTAAATAGAGACTATACAATTTTTTTGTTTTTAACTTTATGTTCAGGTTTTATGAAAGATGAAATACAAATACAATGTATTAATATTATTATTATTATTAGACAATTTCTATATATTTTTTAATATTATTTTTTTTTCTTACTCCAATGGCTTTTTATTTTTATTTTAAGCTAAAATTAAGAAACAACATTTAGTAAGGTTTATACTTAAAACAATAAAAACGTGGATGGATGGATGGATGGATAGATATTTAACAATAAACTAAGCTAATCTCTTTCCTCATAAACTGTCTGTGCTTCTATCATTTCCAACCTTGAGCTGCTTTCTCTGTTTAAAAAATAAATCTGCCTGGTTTATTCCTGTCTGTTTGCTTTTAGGCACTGCTGACTGTGAAAAGCGCCCTGCCTCTGTGCGTTTCTGAGCAAGCATGTGCACCGAGTTGCTTTTAAGATATTTCATGCCACTTTGTGCAGAAAATCACAACTACACTGTGGGAGGAGAAAGGAAAAGATGACTGCCAGGAGAACAGAAAAGATGTGCTGAGCTCACGAGGTTCAGACAAAGTCCTGAACCCCCCACCCCACACACACAGCATTTCTAGGGAACTGTTTCACTACAAGAATGAATGAGTGAATGAATGAATTATTAGCATTTTTATTCAGTTGTCCAGTAAAAATATCAACACATGAATAATACAATATAAATATATTTGAGAAGCAAAATGCTGTTTTAGTAAAACTTTACTACAAAAAAATACTCAAAAGTTTGTGATCAGTGAGATTTTATTTTTCTGAAAATAAATGAATACTTTTATTCAGCAAAGACACATTAAACTGATCAAAAGTGAGAGTAAAGACATATATCACAAGAGATTTCAAATATATTCTGTTCTTTTGAAATATCCATCAAGTAATCTTGAAGAAAAAAACATTATGGCTTACACAAAAATATTAAGCCGCAAGAAATATTTCTTGAGCATATTAAAATGATTTGTGAAGTAATATCATGTGACACTGAAGACAGGATTAATGATGCTGAAAATTCAGCTATGCATAACAGGAATAGATTACATTTTAAAATATATTAAAATAGAAAACATTTATTTTAAATTGTAACTATAACTGTAAATATTTCACAAAATACTGATTTTTTTTTTTTTAAATTAAATAGAGACTATACAATTTTTTTGTTTTTAACTTTATGTTCAGGTTTTATGAAAGATGAAATACAAATACAATGTATTAATATTATTATTATTATTAGACAATTTCTATATATTTTTTAATATTATTTTTTTTTCTTACTCCAATGGCTTTTTATTTTTATTTTAAGCTAAAATTAAGAAACAACATTTAGTAAGGTTTATACTTAAAACAATAAAAACGTGGATGGATGGATGGATAGATATTTAACAATAAACTAAGCTAATCTCTTTCCTCATAAACTGTCTGTGCTTCTATCATTTCCAACCTTGAGCTGCTTTCTCTGTTTAAAAAAAAAATAAAAATCTTGTGTTGCACCTTAAAGGCATTAAATATTAAGGTCCATTTGATTTGCCTAAGAAACAGCCAAGGCTCTGACCCTCATGAATATAAATAGATAGAATTCTTAGCCCATCTCACTATCTGCCCCCCCCCTCTCTCTTTCTCTCTTTACTAGCTCTCACTCTCTTAATGAAAAAAAAAAAAAGAAAAAGAAAAAAAAAAGAAATTGTTCACCCCCAAATGAAAATGAACTCACCCCCACGACATTCAAGTAAATGAGTTTGTTTATTTATCAGAACAGATTTGGAGAAATTTAGCATTACATCTCTTGCTCACCAGTGAATCCTCTGCAGTGAATGGGTGCCATCAGAATGAGAGTCCAAACAGCTGATAAAAACATTACAATGATCCACAAGTAATTGACATGACTCCAGTTCATGAATTAACGTCTTGTAAAGTGTAAAGCTGTGTTTATAAGAAACAAATCCATCAACACATTTTTAACTTCAAACCACCGTGTCATTCTAAAATGCGAGTCCTCTATGCATAAAATTGCTTTCTCCATTAAAAAACTATCTCATCTGAATCAGTAGAGAAATATGCATAGACCAATCACCGTTTACAAGCAAAAACAGTCCAAAAACAGTCCTAAACAAACATGCTGGTGAATTTTGACATGAGAGAACAGGGCATGGATTTTTTTTTCACTGTAGGAAGCGTCATTTTTGGCCAGATAAAATGCCTTCGTGATGGATTTCTTTCTTATAAACATGCAGCTTTTCACTTCACAAGACATTAAATTATGGACTGTAGTCATGTCAATTACAAGATAAAATGCCTTCGTGATGGATTTCTTTCTTATAAACATGCAGCTTTTCACTTCACAAGACATTAAATTATGGACTGGAGTCATGTCAATTACATGTGAATTATTGTGATGTTATTATCAGATGTTTGGACTCTCATTCTGACGGCACCCATTCACTGCAGAGGATCCATTGGTGACAAAGTGATCCAAATAAATTCTTCCAAACCTGTTCTGATGAAGAAACAAATTCATCTACATATTGGATGGTCTGAGGGTGAGTACATTTCCAGCAAATTTTCATTTCTGGATGAACTATTCCTTTAAGGTGCTATATCTGACCTGAACCTTAAAATGACTTTTGTTGGTGTATGCTAATATAGTCTGGTTGATTCAAACATATTAATTCATATTTCTGATTTGACTAAAATAAATTAAAAGTTACAACACAAAACACATTTTAGGCTACCAGACAAAACACCTTACAGTGCCCAGAGATCAGTGAAAATATGTGTAGACTTCATAATAAAACGAATTCTGTCAACAAGTAAGAAGCACATACTCTTATACAACTGCAAATCCACTGAATACTTTGTCTATATCAGTGCTTTTCAAATGGTGGTTTGCAACCTAAAATGGACTGCAGATCTGTTCTGATAGGGTTAAGGACAGCAGATAAAAACAATGCTAAATGCAAACGACAAAATGCAACCAAAAATAAAAACATGCCTTGTTAGGAAATCAATATATACATAAAAAAAGTGTATGAAATTATAAGGCAAGGCACTACAGGCAAAAACTTTTTTTTTTTTTTTAAATACATTGGTCAATTTTGATATTTTGAGCTGTTTGGCTTGTTTCAGACTAGTGGACAAACATCCAAATTACACTTTATCTACTTGCGCTTGCAGATTTCAGATACAACACACTTTTTAAAAGGAATTATTTTTGGTTTCCTCAAAATTGTTTTTTTTTTTTTTTTCATTCATGCTCTGAGCAAGAACTCTCCACGTCAGTAGAACTCGCATTCACCAAACTTTATTGCTGTAAAATATTCTGAAGGTTTTTACAGTTGCGGTTTGGTTCACGTATCATTTGCCTGCTTTGCATTTTTTAACAAAATTATATCCCTAAAAACATGCAGAAAATGTATTTAATTTTTTCCCCTGTAGCTGATGACTGTATTTTCTGATTTATTAAGCAATAAAAAAGAGCTATCCAAGATCCTCCCTGTAAAAACCTTAACCTCTAATATGTCAACAAAATGTAACAAGAATTTGTGAACCTGGCTATCCAATGTTAAGATTTCTGTTCTGGGTATTTATGCAAATTAGTTCATATTTAATAAGATAACTAATCATTTGTCTCTACATCATTTGTCACTAATCATCTATTATCTATTACTATAGATTAGTACATACTCACCTTGGATGTTTTGCCTTAAAATGTAAAAAAAAAAAAATTCCATATCTTTTGTCGTTAATGTCAAAGTCTTTGTGTCTAATTATAACTTTATTTTGCCCCCCTAAAAAAAAGATACTGTTTCTTCCACTTGATGCCTGATGTTAAATCAGAGTGCAAAAACAGGTGAGAACCACTGCTTTAGCTAACAGACATAATACATTAATCTGGACATCTTGAAATCTGATCATTGATAATCTGCTCACATTGAGTTAGCGCATCAGTTTAATAATTATTACTGTATAATTTAGGTCTTGACTCAATACCAGGCCCATAATTATAGCTTCTGGCCATGCCGCATTTTAAATGATCAGATCCCCGAATCCGATAATTTGACTATGATTTTCCATTAGCTGAGTTCATCGGATTCAGATGACCCTCGTGATGATCTCACCTCTTCTAGCCGCACCAGGAAGGTCACATTGCTGCCCATGTTGGCTGTGAGTTTGTTGTCGTGGGTTGTCAGGACTAAACCTCGCGGGGGGCGGTTCAGACATTGCTGTTTCCTGGCTGTGTACATCTCCTTCACTCCTTTTGTGCAGTTATTCGCAACCACTTTACGATACCTGAAACACACAAAGAAACCAAAAACTAGTTTGAAACATCTTTCTTTTGAGAAACTATTTGATGGCTCAATGACATTCACATTGTGACTTAGTGTCTGGGTCACTGCATTTATCCATTTGAATACAACAAGCCTGATAGATCCATTCTGAGCAGCTCTGTTTTTTTGTTGCTGGATGAATTGGTTTTGGCCACAATTTATGTGACACAATCTCTGAAAATGATAATCGCGTTCGTTCTCTGTCTCTTCCCTTGTCTGTAATTTCGTACTCTTGCTCTGAATGGATATGCTTTCTGAGTGATGTTGGTTTTAAATTAGGTTTAAATGAAGTCTTTCCATTACACAGTGTTATCTGTCCAGCTAGGTCTCTTTGTATGGATTGTCTGTCTAGAAAGTTGTCGTAAAGACGGACGCCACAATCTCCAGACAGTTTAAAACCTGCTCACGTCAATATGGCTTGTGCCTGCTCATCAGCACAGTAAGTTTAAATCATGGCTCACTTAATTAAAAATAACCATTTCCTAACACGAGATTGGTTTAGTGCTAGTCTGATTGAACATGCTTTACAAAAAATGCTCTCCACTTTATCCCAGTGATCACAGGAATAATATATGACTACTGGGGAAATACTGTAAGTTAGCTGTCGTATTGTGGAATATACTGTAAGTTAGCTATTGTTTTCTTATTTATTACTATTTATATACAGTATATACAGTGCCTTGTTCATTTTCACATTTTGTTATGTTGCTGTCTTATGTTAAACTGCTTTAAATTACTTTTTTCCCACATTAATCTACACTCCATACACCATACTGACAAAGCAAAAACAGAATTGTCACAACTTCGTAAATTTATATAAAAAAAGTACTGAAATAAGTACGTTGCATAAGTATACCCTTAACTAAATATTTTGCTGAAGCACCTTTACAGTCTCAATTCTTTTTTGTTTGATGCGACAAGCTTTGATCATCATCATTTGGCAATTATCTGCCATTCTTCTCCTCACCTCTTCACCTCTCAAGCCCTGTCAGGTTGGATGGGAGAAAATGCACATTTTCAAGTTTCTCCAAAATTATTTGATTGGGTTCAAGCTCAGGCTCTGGCTGGGCCACTCACGGACATTCACAGAGTTGTCTATAAGCCACTCTTTCTGTGTGCTTAGGTTCATTGTCCTGTTGGACGGTGAACCTTCTGCCCAGTCTGAGGTTCTGAATGCTCTGGACTGGGTTTTCATTAAGGCTAACTCAATATGTTGATGCATTGAGCTTATCCCTCGGTCCCTGCCACTGAAAAACAGCCCCACAGCATGAGGCTGCTACCAGCACACTTTACTTTTGGGGTGGTACTCTTCAGGTGATGAGCAGAGCAGGTTTCCTTCAAACATGATGCTTGGAAGTGAGGTTCATCAGACCAAAGACTCTTGTTTCTCAGAGTCTGAGGGTCCTTTAGGTGTTTTTATGCAAAATCCAAGTGTGTTTTCATGTGTCTTCACTGAGGAGAAGATTGAGTCTGGCCACTTCGGCATAAAGCCCAGATCGGTGGAGTGTTGCAGTGATAGTTGTCCTTCTCCTTATTTCTCCCATCTGCATATATGATCATGGAGCTCAACTAGAGTGACCATCATGGTCTTGGTCACCACTCTAACCAAGACCCTTTTCCATCAATTGCTCAGTTTGGCCAGGAGGTCAGCTCTAGGAAGAGTCCTGTTTTTTTCAAACTTCTTCCATTAAGGGTAACAGAGATTACATGCTTCTGTGATCCTTCAATGAAGCAATTTGTTTTTCTGAAATCTTCCCCAGATGTGTGGCTTGACAGAGACCTGTTTCTGAGCTCTACAGGCAGTTCTTTTGACCTCAGGGCTTGTTTTTTGTTCTGATATGCATTATCAGCTGTTTGCCACAGGTTAACTTCATTCGAAGTGTAGTAATATCTACAAGCAATATGAATGTTCCTGAGCTAAATTTCAACTGTCCCAGATATGAATACTTATGCAATGGAACCATTTAAGTTTTTTATTTTTAATAAATTTGCAAAGATGTTAAAAACCTGTTTTTTTTTCTTGACAATTAG